CTATTTACATATTATATTGATAAATTAATCAAAATATAATAAAATTGTTTTTTTTAAAAAAGTAAGTAATAATAATAAATAGAATCAATTATCTTGGACCCCGTGCCCATCTTGAAGGAATTTTGAATAAAATTTTCTTTTCTTCTAATCTTGAAGTGTTTGTTTCTGATTGAAGGGGCGGAGAATATGTGAAGTTTCTAGGTGATGGTGGAGGTATGGTGGAGTTTGTGGTGCTTGTGGCTATGATAGATTTTTTAGTTGATGACAATTTCAATGATTGTCTTAAAATTGGTTTATGCTTTGTTATTGACATCAGCAACCTGTGAGTTGTTGATTCTTGTGGATAAAAGAAACTAGGTGAACATTCGAATGATAAAGGATTCATTATACGATCACCACCGCGTGATCTTAATCTGTTGACTTCGTTACTGTCGTTGTCTTTGGTTGAATAGGTGAATTTGTATGGAACTTTAAGATGATTTGAACCGTTACCGATTCTATAAACATTTTGAATTTTTTGGAAAGTTTGATTTCTTGATTTTATCGACAATTGACATGATTTTTGTAATAAATTAACATAAGCTTGTGACTTCTCGTCTTCTTTATCGTTGTCGTTGTTGACATTGTCGTTATAAGTAACTTTCCATAATGTAGGTTTGCGTAAGATTGTTGAATGATAAAATTTATTATTCTGCAATTCGTTCTCATTATTGTCTTGGCCGTTTGTTGTAGGCTTGAAAATGAAATCTCCATTTTGTTGATTTATACAGTCAAAAATAAAATTTACGTTAAATCTCCATCGTTGTTCTTGTTCAAAATGAAGAGTTAAACCAATCTTGCGCTCTTCAAATTTTTTCTCTAAAGCAATTTCAGCCAAGATTTTAAACTTTTGACAAACATTGCATAAATTTATTAATGTTTCGATATCAAGGTTTGAAAATATTATTAATAATAATTCATTTGGGAAATTAGAAAGTGATGAATGTGAAAAAATGTTGTTAATGGATTGCATGTTTGTAATGTATTTTATTATATTAAAACGATGTAAATAAAAAATAAATTTTATTCTTGACCAGCAAAAAATTATCAAGGTAGGTTTTTAAATTGAATAATTTTTTTTTATAATATAAAAATTAAATTCCTTCCATTCTTTTTATAATGGATATCAAATATCAAAAAGGCTAATTGGATTTTTGTTTGTTTGTAAATAACAAAGCGAGAAAAATCAATGGAAAATATATTTATATTCATATTTGGCACGTGTATACGGCACATTCCCCAATTTGATAAGTTCAAAAAAAAATACTAATTGGTGGTTGGTGCACTGTTCACTTCGGTTTTTGTATTTCCAAATAAATGATTTTTACAATCACATTGATGGTCCATTTTACAAATTAGAATATACATGTATTGTGGTTGCGTTTGTCTATAAAATAATTTTTTGGTGAATTGGTTAATTAATTAGTTGTGGGGGTGGCGGTAAATAGATAAATTTTCAGTGTAATATATATATTGATATATATCTTAGAAGGTGATTACTGGTCGGTCGTAAAACTTTTTATTTTGTGACACAATTAAAATTAGAATGAAAAACAAATCGTTTTAACAAGCAATATTTAGCAAAAAAACTAACGAGTAAACATTATTTTTCCTCAAATTTTTCCCTCCCACAAAAAAGTAAATATTATTGTTACACTTGCTCAAAATTCAAATCTAATTTTAGATTGCTGACACGATCGCACAATGCATGCTGTGGCACGAGGATCAAAATTTTGTTTTATATAGTTGGCTCGGTCTAAAGACCTCCTAAATTTTGAGCAAATTTTAAAAGTATAGAAGTCATTTTCTGTCCTAC